ATCAGGACAAGGCTACGCCAAGGCATGAAGCCGTCACCTTTTTCCCGCGCGGAGCCTGTTGGGAGTTCCCAGGTCGGGCACCCAACATAGCACAAGTACGCAATGCGAGAGCATCATGAAAGTCTGTCCAATCCAGCTTTGAGGGACGCCAGACTCACATCAACATCAGGGCTTCTGAGTCTTTTCTTAAGACTTGGAAAGGTTTTCGAGGGCCTGGGATCCACAGAAAACGGCGTTCATTTGCACCCATATACGAAAGAAATGAACGCCAGCCCGTTTCCCCAAAACCTGTGGTCGCCGCTTGGAAACCGACCGGGTTTGCTGGGTTTCGTGGCGGAGCCTCCGGGGACCCTATATACCCTTCAGGTTGTAAGCTTCGCTTAAGTAAGATACTCCGCTAGCTCCTCGGGGGCTAGCTTTCGTGATATTACACCATTCAACCTGCTTCAACTCAATGAATTCGGTCTGAGCACAGGCCCCTGTCGAAATCAGCAAGGAATCGGTCCAAGCCAGCAAGGCAGGTCCGGCAGGTCATGGCGTCAACGGGTATCCGGATCGATTTCAGCGAACGTGTTTTTTTTACAGCCGTATCCATCCCTTAGCCTAGTTAAGGATTCCGGGGGCCGGTACTTTTGTCCTAAACTCTGGTGATGTCAAGATGATCCAACCATTGGTTTCGAAGTATACCATTTCCTCACGGTCTGGATGTGTTTGCAGCATTTGATGGCCACACCTTCTTGTCGGTGGACTTAAGCACAAACGCCATGAGCACCTCAAAAACAGAGGAATCAATAAAATAATGCAGCGCGATCACGAAGGACGCAAACCGCATCACAGAAAAACAACATAAGCCCGCAAACCACCAACCCTTAAACCCCCTTAAACCCCCAATCCTTAAAACCTCAAGCGCAGCCATAACTTGTATTTCGTTGCAATCGCCTGCAGGGTTCCGAAACAAGAAACGCGCAAATTGGTGGGGTTCTGAAGCCGGGATCCCCTCGAGGGTTTGGTGCCTCTAGGGCTTTAGGGTACTTTTGTGCCTAGGGTTTGAGGAAGTTGGATTTAGGGGGTCCTGACGTACAACAACCTCATGTCAGCGCAGCATGACTGCCGACACAGTGGCCGCTGTTTTCCCGGGCATGGAAGCATGGCACGCTTGTACAACTCTGCAACAGATGTGAACCTCTGAATACTTAGACCCAGAGCTTCCAAACAAAATTCTTGAAACTGTCGGAACTGCGATGCTGCCAAAATCCCAGGTTGTTGCTTCGTGGCCAGCTTTTGCATCCTAGCAGAGCAGCCGCCTATCTACAAAAAGCTTCTAAAGCTCCTCACTGCCCCGTGTGACTTGCAGGAAGTGCACCGAGTCAACGTTTTCGGAGGCAGCTGGACGGATCGGTTGCTCCTTCTTCTGGGCGAGGTTAACTACAGGTGTGCTGTGACCGTCTTTTCCGTGATGTCCGTGATGGCCGGGTATGCACTTCTGGCCTTTGTCGCAGATGCAAATGCAAGCGCATATCACACACACACACACACACACACACTCTCTCTCTCTCAAAACAAAAACATCTACATTGCATATACACTCATTCACTCACATGCTTAAGAAAACAACATCGCTTGCTGAGGCCCCTGGCAATCCGGGATGATGGCCCAAAGCTTGAGTTTCGGCTTCAAGAGGAAACACCAAGGTTTGCAGCTCTTTGGCTCAGGCGACGGGCGCGGAGTGGTTGTGTCAGGTGTAACTTCTAAATCAGACTCACCGGCCACACCCACAAGCTCACCGTCCGCATCCAGTGCCATGGGGCCTAGGAGGCGCCGGTGGCCGTCACCGCGAGCAATGAAGCCGTGGAGGCAGAAGCGGTTGTCCCAAGAAAGGAACCGCCCGGCAAAAGCCTACAGGGAATGAAGCTGTGTGCAGGAGGGGGCTTAGGGGGGAAAGGTGAGACGTGCCTCCACCTGCTTCACGCTGCTACCCACGCCCGGCGCCATGAAAGTCATCCAGCCAAGGCTGCTTCTGTCTGGTGCTGATTCCAAGTATAATGTGGCTGAAGTTCCATTCACCTTGCCGTATTGGCTGCCCCGCAGGCCACCCAACTCGCCGTGGTCCTGGTGCATGACCCTATTCCCGCTCTTGCGGACGCCTGGGATGAAGTTGAACAAGGGATTGATCTTCGGCTCACCAGCCAATGCTTCCTTCAGGCGGAGTTGGACGTTTGCATGGCCTCGAAGCACTTGTGGACAGTCTGTCCCCTCGAAATCCCTCAGCAGGGAGGCCGCCTCTGTTTCCGAAATAAAGCCGTCTCGGACCCTGATGGAAGACAGGCACGCGCTGCTCAAATCCTCGGCCGAAGAAGCCGCACAAAGAGCGCCCAGCGCAAAGAGGCAACGGGCCATCTTTATCCGTTTGAGGCCATCGGCCCTTCTTTCAGTTTGGGATTTTAAGACCTGAAAGTTGAAAGGAAACGATAGGCATATATGGGCATGCTCCATTTCTTCCCAGTTAAGCAATGCTTGGCCTCTGTAACCTCTGCATCTGCTGGCAAGCCGACGCACCGGTCTGCGAAGATGCGCTTGGACCAGAAGCGCGTTAGCCCTTCTAGGGTTTACGGGGTCAGGACCGAGGGCTTTGGGATGTTTAGGGTTCAGGAATGATAAAAGAGGCAACTCTATGGGGTTTAATGAGGGCTGCAAGCTTTGAAGAGCTTAGTGTGTCAAGCCAACTGCTTCAGATTGCGAAAGGCTGGGTGCTAAATTTCGATGTGAATCCGAAATTTACACCTTTGGTATAAATAAATTCCAATCTCTCTGAAAATCCGGAAGCAAGTCACGGGTTCTGCACAAATCAAACGCTAAAGGATGTAAAGGGCCATGAAGACATAGAAAACCAACTCCTTCCACGAGATGAAGCCTCAGGTTTTCTTAGAACCTTTCAAGCTCATCGTGCTTCGCATGCTAGTAAGTAATGGTAGGTCTCAAGTTTCATTCAAATCGTACGCCGAAGTTAGAAGCTAAACAAGATAAATCTGGGTGCTAGCAATTCCTCCTCGAGACCGTGGTGCTGCTCGTCGCGACCCTCCTCCATTCTAGCAATCAATGGCTTAAGCCTGAACCCTAAACCGCCCCCCTAAACCTTATATAACCCCCTAAACCGCCGTCCCAACAAAAATACATAAACGCCTCATCCAAAGGGGTGGGGGGGTTGGGGGGGTGGGGTGGGGAAGGGGGCGGGGGGGAGGGGGGAGCATAACAGGAGGACGAGGTCAGCCAAAAAAGAAAGACAGGTCGGCGTAAAGAAGAAAATGATGAGAATAACGAGAGAAGTGGTAACATAACCAAGAAACTCTGGAGCATAAAAATGGGAACGGTGCAGCATTAGGGATTATGGCCCAGAGCTTCAAGATCTGAGGCCCTACAGCCCCAAAGCCCTAAGCCCTAAACCTTTGTGGTATGCTTTGGGGTGTTTTAGGGGTTCAGGGGGTTGGGGCGTTTGGGCGTGGAAATGAGGGTGTTTATTAGGACTTCAGACAGAGGCTCGCTCTGCGCCATGACGCCAAGGCCTCAAGGGACGTGAAGGTCCGCCTGAGTCGAAGCCGGACTTCTGAGGGTTTGGGGTTTCGGGTTTAACCCCCTCGATCCATGCGAAGGTGAAGGCCCCCAAAACCCCAAAACCCTAAACCCCTGAACCCTAAACCCTACAGTCCTGCGCCCTATAGCCCTCCCTAAATCCCCAAACCCCTGAACCCTCAACCCCCGACCAAGCACATTACGCCCAATCAGAGAGCCGAAACTTCTCTTCCGCCCAGCTGATCAGGGTATAGTATAGGGTTTGGGGTTTAGAGGTTAGGGGTTTACCGGTTTAAAGGGTTTAGAGGTTAGGGTTTAGGGGGCTGGGGGTTTAGGGTTCGGGGTTTAGGTGGTTTCTGTGGCCCCTGACTAAAGATCTGCAACAGACATGACATTTGTTTAAGGAATGGTCTGGTGCCAGAGATCTCTCAACTCCCAAATTCAGATTCCAGGGTTGAGGGGGTTTAGGGTTCAGGGTTGATTAGGGTGCCGCTAAACCCCTCAACCCCTCAACCCCTCAACCCCTAAACCCCTAAACCCTCAACCCCAGCTCCAGCCCCTAAACCCTAATCCCTGAACCCTCAACCCCCAAGCTCCAAAACCCCCAAATCCTAAAGCCTAAACCTTGAACCCCCAAGCTCCAGAAACCCAACCCTAAACCCTACACCACAGCCACGAGGCTTAGGGTTTAGGGTTTAGGGTGTAGGGTACTGCAGCCATAGCCCTGAGACTAGGCTTGGGGATGGTTGCTGAGGGTTTGGGGTTTCAGTTGGGTTTGGGATTGAAGCTTCAGGGGTTCAGGGTGTCGGGTTCGGACTTAAGCGGAAATTTGAAGGTTTAGGGTTTAGGGCTGGGCCCTGAATCCTCCCTAAACCCTAAACCCCGAAACCCTCTACAGACTCTGCCCTCATTCTAGGGCCTCGCTTTTTGGTCTCTTGGAGCCCGCTTGGAAAGCTAACGCGCTTTGCCTTCTCAGACTGATCTTGGCAAAAAACCCTAAACCCTAAACCCCCCCAAAAATAGGTTCAAGCAAGTGGATTGTTTCAGCCCTTTTCGGCTTGGAGAGCCATTTCTCAGCCCATCGCAAACTGGAGGCTCAAAGTTGAGAGCGAGCCTAGCTATACAAGCTCTATTTATTCTCATAGGGTTTAGGGGGCTTGGGCTATGGGTTTAGAGGGGCAGTCTAGGGTTTAGGCTGCATGGATTCATGGCGGTCTGACCTTCGACAAACTGGATTCAAACATAGACTTCCTTGAGGATCACAGGCATTCTGGCAGCAACAGTGACAGACAGCTATACTCCACCCATTCTCAGGACTGGCATGGAAGGTGAAACTGGAGTGATTTGTACACTCACGGAAATGTTACTCAAGAATGGGCAGTGCCTCCAGCCCTGTTGCAGACAACACGTCAATTCCTCTGAGATGTGCGAGGCTATGGTTCGGCTCGTGCCTTGAGGCAGCGGGCACGCAGGACACAGCAAATACGTCTCAAATCATTTCGTCGGAAGAAGCTGAGAGAGCCCACGCCTGAGACCACGCCAAGAGAAGGCAGACCCCACATCACAAATGCACTTGGGCCGCCTGGTTTCAAAGTTACCCGCAAAGCGAGCGACCAGCCCACAAAGACATGAAAGGACGACAGCACGCCAAGGCCCGCCCCAATCCAGTAGATCAACTCGTTGCGGGAATGCAAGGGCTCTTTTTGCATCAACAGCGTGCCGAGCAGACCCCACGTTGTGGAAAGCATCCAGGGCGGCCAGAGTCCATACCGGAGGAGCAGCAAGATTGTCGACCCTCCGTGCTCACTTGTGAGGGCTGTGGTCGAGGCCAAGAAGAAAAGCATGGCCAGATGGACAGCGGCGAAGACATGGATGAAGTTGCAATCAGCGCCTGGGCTGAGGAAGAAAAAGGTTCAACCCCCAGAACTGGTCCGTTGCCTACGGAAAGGAATGCCACGGGCTTACCTAAAGTGTGCAGCCCCAAAGACCCGCGCAGCACTTCCTTTTTGCGCATGGCTTGAAAGTCGGTGTCAAGAACCCGACCTCCGGATGCAGCCCGCTAGGCCGTACCGGAGACCGGAAGGTCTGAACCGGACACCGACCGGAGGGTGTGAAGCATCCCACCGCAGGTAGGAACGAACACACCCAGACACCACAACACTGGGAACCGGAGTGTACGGCGGAGAAAATGGGGAAGGATTTTCAAGCCAGGGCCTCCTTCCCAAGAGCCCGAAATCGGAGAATCCCGGCCGAACCGAAACCAACACACCAACACATCCCTTTAAAGAAACCTAACTAGAAGAGGGCTGGCCCGAAAGCATCGATTTGCCGTGCGTTAACTCCATGCGCTTGACTCTTTGCACTCGAACTGTATGCACTTTGACAAGTGTATGCACTTAAATGGTTGCATACTCACTTGTATACTGCACTTGTATACTGGACGTGCAGTGGATCAGGCGGCTCTTGCAAGAATGTTTGCTGGTTTAACCTTGGAGCGACAGGAGTCTGCAGAGTCACAAGCCTTGGCAGCTTTGGCAGATGCTAGGCTTGGGTCTCAGAATCCATGAGGTCGGCAAGATCACATCCTTCGCAGGAACCTGGAGAGCTTGATCAAGAGAATCAAGGACAAGCTCCAGGGATGAGTGGGCCTCAACAGTACAATATTGCAACATCTCCTGGTTTGGGACAATCAGCAAGTGTGGACAATGCTTCTTTGGATGAAAGGGATCGTGAGTTGGTGGCTTTGCGTTTTCAGGTACGACAGCTACAGATGCAATTGCAACAGGTCTTGGTCAGAGAAGCTGCTAGATCTGGAGAGGTCGCTCCTTCGGCTGGGGCGATACCTCCTCTGCCACCACCGCGCAGCAGTCACTGCACACCTGGTGGCACACGAGTTCCAATGGGACCTCCGGGGCCTTCAGCTGCTACGCCAAAGGTTCCTGGAGTGACAGCTGGCATGGATGCATCTTGGAATACAATGGGACCTGCAGTTTGGGAGGCGGTGCCACCGCCCCCACCGTTGCCTCCAGAGATGATGGCAAGGCCAGGGCGTTGGCGCCCGCCGATTCCGCCGTCTTGGAAGGATCTGCCTAAGTTGGATATATCGAAGAGCAACACCGAAGATGCTGGAATGATTCTTGGAGATTGGCTGACCATGGTGAAGCCAATGATGGCGGGAATTTCAGCCACGGCGTCCGAGTGGTGGGAGCAAGTCACGGCTACTGCTTATCACTACTATGAAGATTGGCTGGGAGCATCGCCATTGGAACGACTGGAGCTGAGAGACAAGGTGATGGGACTGACAGTTTTGTTTGAGCATTCGAAATGGTCACGAACAGAGCAGCGAGGAGCAGACCGCTGCGGGCCAATCCCAAAAGAGAAGCATACATTTGGTCGCACAGTAGGTTCTCCGGCAGGTCCACATCGATAACATAGCATCCATCCATGCCCTTGCCATCCAGATACTGCTGAAAGAAGCCACGGGTTTTGCCAGCAAACAGGTTCAGCACGATGATCTTCGAGGCCGTCATGGCCTTTCTTGTCTTCCGGCTCCATGGCAAGCAGTCATTTCCCTTGGCATAGGCAGGAATCGTCAAGGCATTGATGACTTCCTCCGGCAGCTGCGAAAAGTGATCTTGTAACCATCGCTTCATAGCCACAGGATCCTCGAACATCATCACCTCTTCTTGCTCAAGGTTGGGGCTGTCGTCGTAGTTGGTTCGCAGCGCCTTCAAGAATGCCAACTTTTCCCGCTTCTTTTGCTCAATGTCATCGGTGAGTTGCAAGGCCAAAGCTTCTGGAACTTCCGGACATCCTGTAACCAATCGCCGGAAGAAGGCCAAATTTCGGAACTTTGATGCAGATACCACCTTGATCCCAGGTCACCCCTGCTCCCAGCTGGATTAGCTCGTGCATTGCAACTATGGGACTCGTAGTGGGGTCGTTTGACAGCAAAGTGCCAGCATCGTTAATCCGAAGCCTGTAGCCAGGGCCGCCTTTATTGGAGCAGCTCGTTGGAATTCCCGATTGTCGTGAAGAAGGTTGAGCCGAATGACCATCAACTTCTACGACATCCACTTCATCCTCGACAGCACAAGCAGCCTTTCTTCAGGAAGCATCCGAGCTCATCAAGACTATGAGGCTGGCAGCGTTGCGGGGCGAAACAGATGGTTGAGGACTGCTGGGTGGAGGAGCTACAGCTGACACATCTCAATGATTGTGTCGGCGTGCAGGAACGTCGCAAACCCAACAGCGTCACTGTCGAACCGACACCGCAGACCTCAACGGCGTCCACATGACCAGCCTCGTTTTTCAGCAGTCGAACATCCGCGAACTGCTGTACCAGCATCGTGCTTCTGCTCCTGGGACCTGCTGCTGCACCCTGCGAAACTGCCGCGCGATTCTCGGGCCGAGCATCAACAACCTGGCAGTAAACCACATTTCCTGATGCCAGGTCAGGAAGGACTGTCTCATCTCCACCAAAAGCTTCCTGGAGAACCTGGTCGTTCAGGTCTTCTTCTGCATCCAAGTCTTTATCTTCGTGCATGGCCGCGTCCTCGCCGGCCAGCTTCGAGCAGATTGCCTCAGGGCAGGAACACAGTGTGCCGTTGCTGAGTTGCTGCTTGAGAAAGCTGATCCACTGCTTGTGCCCTGGCTTCAGCTCTCGCAACGCCGCACGGAACGCAGCCACAGAGACCTCCTGCTCGGCAGTGTCTTGGAAATGATCTGCCTCCGCATAGCAGTAACAACGTGCAAGCTTTTGGGGAACAGTGAGCAAGGCAATCTCTGCGGGCGACATGACATGGCCCAACAAGTCCACCCAGAGACCCCTCCTAGACCAATTCTTCATGACATGCGTCTTCTGGGCACCGTTGTCAGTCACCATAGGTAGCACCTGGCTCCGCCTCTGCCGCGCACACGTCACTGGTGGGCTTGCCTTCGTGAAACCACGGAGACAAGGCCACTTGATGCCCCGATGCTGTGACTCCAGAAAACGTTCTGCCATTGGACACCGGGCTCTTTCTTGAACTTCCGTGAATGCCAAGGGAAATTCACGAAGGGAAATTCACGAAGAGATCGCGAGTCTGACGCTGTGACGTCTTGTCGAGCAAACTGCCACAGCTGCTGGCTCTCAGCACTTTGCTTCCCAAGAAGAAACACACTGATGGGATCCATGGTGGCGCCAGACGACACAGACTCAGCATAGTCCCGGAAGCAAGATGCGGCAAACTCTACCGTCTGAGGCAACGTTTTGTCCACATACAGTCGAAAGACGCCTGCCACTTTAAAGGGCAGCTTCTGGCACCAGGAAAACTTGTCCCGCAGGACAGCTTGCAAGTTCTGCCGGACAAGGCCATCTGTACGAAGAATGCTGTTGACAAGTGCTCGGTCAAAATGACGGAACGCCTGGTTCATATCTTCCGTGTCTGCTCTGGCCAGTATGTCCGGAAACTTTTGAGGCCCGTGCCAAGCCAGCACACACAGACGCTTGCCCTTCCAAGGACAGAGGGTGCCTGGCCTGGACAAGTCCGTGTCACGCTCCAGGAGCCTCTTGGTTACGCGGGCACGGGATTGCCTGAACGAAGCCTCTTTCTCGTGACAACAGCATCCCTCGAGCCACCTGGAGCATGCAACAAAAGAAGCATCCATGACACAGGTCCACAAAGTCATGGCACGGTTCGTGTCGCTCGCAAGTGCTGCCTGAATGGTTGCTGCTAGTTTTTTTTTCTCCTGCCATTTGTCCTTCAGGATGGGCCCAACCTCCTTCCAGTATTTGGCGCAGTATTCGATGGACTCCCAACGCCAATCAAGCACGGAAACATCCAGACTCCGAATGAGCTGCTTCTCTGTTGCTGACAAGTTCTGCGTGAAGCGCGAAACCAAATCCACGTAGGACTTCTGAGAGAATATCTTGCCCACCGCCCGAAGCTCCACCTCGTACGCCGCCCACATGTCCGAAGTTTTGAGGGACGATTCAAGAGCATTAAACAGTATATGCATGACTCCTGGAATGCCGAATGCGTTGGAAAGAAATGGCACATGACCGATGTCCTCCTGCGAAACCTCACCAGACAGTAGACCCCGGGATAGATTGTTCAAAGTTGCAGACTTCTCATATGGAAAACCAAAGAGGTGCCTCTCTGTGCCTTTGTCACTGAGATACCCTTTGACTTCGCTCCGGTAATTATCAATGTTTCCTGCTCCCTGCTCTTGGTGCAAGACATGTAGCAGTCGACTGAATTTCATGCTCGCAGAGCCCTGTCCACTAACCAGCGTCCTTAGAGGAAGTGTTCGACGTTTCCAGAAGAAACCCCCGAAAGCATCGAAATCCTCTTCTGACTTCTGGCAGTGTTCCAGGGAGGCTGGTCGCTCCAGCACATCTTCTACGATAGCAAAATAATCAAACCCGCCTCGTGGGGAGGAGCCGCTTCCTAGGTACCGGGCCCTCCGCATCTGCGGTTCGCCGGCTCGGTTGAAAACACGACTTGAAAGTGTGTGCTGCAAGTCTAACTTCACCATGCTAACAGATAATGTCTTGCGCTGTGGCACTGCTATATTCACAACAGGCTCCAGCCCCAAAGCAGGCAGAAACGTGGAGCCTACCATGCCGATGATCTCTTCGATGTCGTCCAAATTTTGCACGTAGTGGCCTAAGCACATAAAACACATGCAAGGCTGCGTCGTGCCTGCGACGCACCAGAAGTGAAGCACCAGGCCGCCCAGGACCAGCGTCTGATGCTTCCGCAGGATTCGCTGGTAGTGCTTCGTCTGCTTCGTAAGCCGTTTAAAGTGAAACACCAAGAGAATCACACATGGAAACAGGAAGGATGCAGCACCTGCCATGTGGAGCCCTCGCAGCAAATGCTGCTGTGGCAACTCCCTCTGGCAACATCGCAGCTTTCCAATTTGAGTACTTACTTAATCTCTGCGCAAACTCTTGAAATGTGGCTGGGGAAGGGACATTTTCGCCTCTGACATACCATGAATCAGGCACCAAGTTCAAAAGCGACAACGAGTTCAGTCGAGTCACCTTCTGCAATTGTGCCCCTCGAAAGCTTGCCTTGCCGAAAGCGTGATGCTCTGAGACGACAAAAAAAGACCCTACTGAAAGTATGCCAAAATCACATTGCTCTGCGTTTTGGCTGAGAGCCGTCTCTTTCCTTCTGACGTCTGCCCTTGCAAACTTGTGCCAGTGTTCATAGCACTGGTTGAAATCTCGCAGTAGCAACTCTTTCCCAAGCTGCTTTGCCGAGTCACAAATCAGGGCGCCCAGAAACTTCGCGTTCTTTGCTCTGCCACTATTACAAGCCGCCAGTCCTGAACACTCTAACGAAAAAAGCAAGATGAGATCACCAATATTGAACCGACGTTCGTCGCTGCCCAATCGCTTATTGCTCTGCTTCGCAGAGCTGCGAGGCTCACATAAAATGTACTCCGGCTCCATGTTGCTCAAGTTTTCACCCAAAACGACTCATTCCTTGAATGGCTGCATTTTGGAGTTTAGGGGCCCGAGGAGCCCGAGGTCCAGGCCAAAACATAAATCTTTTCTCCGTTTTCGGTTTTGAGTAGGTTTCGCAGAAATTCGGCACACAGCAAGTCGCACGAAACAATCGTGTTAAGGGGCCTCGTAGAGGGGCCAAAGGCATGATTCTTACCAAAACATACCAAACCAAGAACTGCCAGGAAAACGTCGCTACACCCTAAAAAACCTGAAAAACCATGAACCCTTGGAGAACCCTCGAAGTGGTTGGCGCCCCCGTGGCTTGCTTACCCCCGCTTAACTGCAGGGCTCGGGCGAGACAACACCGAAACCACCGCAGCAGCCACTGCCTGCACTGTACGGCGCGGAGCACGCGCTAAGCAAGCCGCACGCATAGCGGCCTCCACAAGGGAAACCGGGTCGGGGGCGGCCATGGGCTCCTATTGGCGAGGCAGGCCTAGGCAAGCCTAGGAAAGGAAATTAAACAGGGTGAAACGGTTTGAAGTCAGCTGAAAAGGGTGGTGGCCCCCATCCCTGAAGAAAAGGCACACAAGCAGGGCGATCATAACAGTACAAAATCGAAGATTCTCTGCGGTGCCACATCAAACAGGATATCCATCAGTGGCGTGCCGGAATGCTCAATATGGACAACTGCTCCATGAACTACCACGAAAGCAGCAAAAACGTGAGGCCTCCACGATTGACACGAAGGCGAGGATCCGGGACACAGCGAGCATCCCGCCCGATGAGCAGCACCCCATCTTCGTGGGCAAGCCGTTGGAGGGTGGCCGCGCCCTCTCAGACTACAACGTCCGGATGGAGTCAACGCCCCACCTGCTCCGCGCCTGCACGGTGGTATAAGACGCACCTTGCGCTGAACCCATGGCACCATGCGCTGGACAAGTCGGACCTCTTTTCCTCGTCCTTGGCCCAGTTCATCAAGACCAACATCCATGGTGATGGTCTTGCCGAGTCTTGCCGGTCAGCATCTTCACGAAGAACTGTCATCATGCAGGCGCTGCGCCAAGTAGAGCATCAGTGCTTTCTGGGCGGTGAAGTCTGGGCAGGTGCGGCAGTCCTCCGACTGCCTGCCCGCGAAAACAAGGCATTGCTGATCGGGCGCGGGGCCCACCATGTCCTGGATCGTCGCCTTCACGTTGTCAGTCTCAAACGCCTCAACAGCTACGCCGGTGACGGTGGTGATGGTCTTGCTGGTCAGCGTTTGCACGAAGAAATGCACGCCACCATTCAGGCATGGCTCCAAGTGAAGTGTCGACTCCTTCTGGACGTTGCGGTCTGAGAGCTTGCGGTCATCTTCCAACTGCCTGCCTGCGAAGATGGGGCGCTGCTGATCTCGTGACTGGCTCGCCGCGTCCTGGATCATTGCTGGCACGGTGTCAATTGCGGGAGCCTCAATATCCAAGGTGCCAGTCCAGCCGGGCAGAACTGCACGGCCACGCAGACGCAGCACCAGTTGGAGCGCCGACGCCCCCGGAGCAACGTAGACTGAGAGCGCGTGGCCGTCCTCCAACCGAACGCCGCCAGGATCAAAGCAGCGAGGACACCACAGCGACTGGTGGATGCACTCGAGCACAGCCCAATCTGAAATTGGTCAAGCTGCTCGTAGTCCTCGATCGCGGCCTTCAGGCGGTCAGACGCCTTGCCAACCTCTGGCCGTTTGCCTGCAAAGATCCCTGATGCGCACCACAGTTGCCCGCCTTAACTTGCTTCGCGGCCTTGACTTTGGCAAGGGCATCCAAGGTCGTCGCATTCAATCAGGCGAGCCCACCATCAAAGGCTTCACGAACATCTGCGGGACAGGAAGTGGCTCCCACTCGCCCTGCCAGGCCGCACTGACCAAGGACGCCCTGCAATAGTGATGCAGGTCGCTCAGGGTCGAGAAGAGACATCTTCCCCGATCCATGATATCCAAAGCTGCAGGCCACCTCATCTCCTGAGCAACCTACCTCAGCCAACCTCCGGATAGTGTGCTTCTGCTGCTGGGAGCTGGACTCCCAGCCTCCCTTGCAAACTCACACGCAGTGTTTGAGTGACACTGCGAAACCATCATAAACCTCAGCAATTGCACATCTAACCAGGTTTTGAGTCAAGCCGGTTAGACCCTCCGCGAAACAGAGTGCTGATGCTCTGTATTGCGCCGAATAAAGGCTTCATCAAAGACCACTGCGTTCCACGATTCCCTCAGGCGGGCGATTTCAAGTGGAACTGGGGCTCTTCGATTTTCCGGCGCTGTTGCCGGCAATTTGGCCCTAGTTCGCACATAGCCAGCTACGGAGGTATGACCCGTTCAGCAGCTGGGAGCGGCGCAAGCTCAATTCAATCAGACATTGAACGAATCAGGTTCAAAAACCATCAACAGGAGAAGTTCGAGAGACTGTATTGTGGTGTTGCACTCCGATCAGGGAGTACGCAACTGGTCAACGACGTGACCTGTGATCAGCAGGCTGCCCTGCCGCAGACAGTGCGCTCAACGAATGCTGTGTGGAGCCACTTGTGCAGATCTCCACTCCAAGTTGAGAGTCCTTTCACCTGGTACACACCTCGCAATCCTGAGGAGAAATGAAATCTGTCAACCCTTGCATTCGCTATGTGAAACAGGCAACTGCAGGTGCGTGAACCAGGCGTCCCCAGTTCATATCACCAGCCACTCAGAGAGGCCTCCCATGCCCCCTGCAGCAAAACATCTCTCACATCGGCATACAGGAAGACTACAAGATCCTGTGTAACAGGAGATGCACACACACACACACAGAAACAAAAAAACACGCCAACTTCGCGGAATGAAGCACCAAAATGTTGGGAAGGAATAGGGCTTCTCCCGACGTCCACTGCAGGTGTCCATCTGTTGGCCAGGATCCTTGCTCTCACCCGCTTGGCAAAAATCTTCCTGCCCGCCGTGTCGATGTCCTGTAGCCACCCAAACCCCTACACCTTACACCCTGGACCCTAAACCCTGGATGTGGTGTTTTTCTTCTTTTTTGGGGCGAGGCCGGGGGGGGGGGGGGAAGGGGGGAGGGGCTGTGTCTCTTGCCGTACTCATGATGGCGTAGATGATCGTGGTGGGCTTCTTCAGTACTCTATTCGGTCATGGGAGGTTGGTGGTGGGGTTTAGGGTCTAGGCTGTATTTAGGTTAGTTTGGGGTCCAGAGTTCTTTGTCGTCCAACGTACCTTCGGTCAGCTAACGGCTAACAAAAGCAAAACGATGCTCAAGAAGCGTGGAGCGGCATTGCCGTGAAAAAGCTCCAGCGAAGAAAGATGGCACCCGGGCAATGCCTCTCTCCAAGCCCTCGCACCCGCGCCTTGCAGTTGTAACAGGCATGTTTTTGTGAAACATGTTGCCATCCGGTCCCTCTCACCCGTAGAGGTCTAAGGGACATGGAAACTCTGAAGATCTCGCCCGAGGCACCGGTCAGCCTATTCGAGCTCAGGATTAACTTCCAAACGTGTCGGTTCTCCTGCATCGCCTCGGCCAGGGCAGCGGCACCATCATCTTCGATGAGGTTGTTGCTCAGGTCAAGGAGCTGGATGGATGTGTTTTTTCGGAGTGCTTGTGCAAGCGCCTCAGCGCCTGCATTTCTGACCTGGTTGCTCGCGAGGCGCAAAGTTTCAAGCTTGCACTTCGGCGCAATACCTTTCGCCAGGGACTGCATGGCGTCGTCCCCCAAACAGTTCTTGCTCAAATTCAGATCTTTAAGGCTGTCAAGCCTCGGTTTCTTTGGCATCTCCAAGCCAACAAGGTTGTCCACTTACTTGTCATGTGGTTTCCCCTGCTACAAGTACTCAAAGGTTTCCTTTCAGCTCGGTATCCTAGTCATCGATGCTGTGACAAGACCCAACCTGACAGGAACCAATCCGAAAGCAAACGCGACAGCGAGTCACACACCCCAAACCCATCAAACATCCTCAAACATCTACGCGCCTCAACCTAAGCCCCTTCAGCTGGGCCTTCAGGTTCAGGCCTTCAGGGGCAAGACAACTTCCCCAAATACCCGATAACTCTAAACCCTAAATCCCTAAACCCCTAAACCCCTAAACCCTAAACTCTAAACTCAAAACCCAAACTCTTTGAACTTCAAGGAGCCGTTCAATTGCGTAGTCCAAGCCATCGGCACGCGAGAGATCGTTTGACGAGGCGTCCAAGACCCGGAGTCGAGGTACGGCATCGGCCAAGGCCTCTTCCAAGGGACGAAAGGGTTAGGAGTTAGGAATTTAGGGCTCGGACTATTAGAGGGTTTAGGATTTAGGCCTTAGAGGGTTTAGGGGTGGGGGGGGGTTTCGGGTTTGGCTAGAAGGTTTTGTTTAGGGTAGGCCCTTGAGGGTTTTTGACTCCCAGTTTGGGTGTTTTTGGGGGACTTGATTTCCAGCACCTCGTGTTCCTGCTTGCTGCTTGAGACCCCCCAAACCCCATATACACCCTAAACCCTCCAGAAAAGAGTAAATGGAAATTGGATGACAGGTTTCCAATAGATGTTCAAAACTGAAAAAAGCTACCAGGGGCTATGTGGCGATGTTCAACGCAATTCTCTTTTGTTCTTATGATCTTTTCTTCCTCGGAAGAAGCCCTGCGAGACATGTGTTCCACAGCTCAGCGCATTCAGCAAGTTTCTTGCATTTCTTCATCTCGTACCCAGGTCTGGAGCATGACGGACGCCCGGACGCCTGGCGAATTCCCAAAACCTCGGGTCCATCTTGTGCAAGCCAGGTCCTGCAAACATTGTCTCCCAAGCCAACGATCTTCCTGCCTCTACTGCAAAGGTAAAGCCAAAAACTGTCGCCCAAAATTCTCGCTCAAAACCGCCCAAAGCCAGACACAAACCCCAAACCCTAAACCTAAACCGCCTAACCGTGCCTAACCCCTAAGCCTCCTTCCTACCTCCCAAGCCTTGTTCGGGGCTTGGGACTGAAAAGCCCCAAGCTCCCAGAAACCTGGGGGGCCTTGAAGGTGCAGGCTCAAGGGAAAAGGAGTTCTTCTCTTGTTGAAGGATAACTAGGGCTTAGTTAGGGTTTGGGCCTACCCGCTTCCCCCACCCCCCCACCCCCCAACATGGGATAAGCCTCTCGAGAAGAGTCCCCTGGGCTTTCGAGAAGGATGCCTCTACATCCTAAACTGCAAAGCTGCTGGCAGTTCACAGAATCACGTGAATGTGTTATGGTTTGTGTGTGGGTGGCTCAGGCCGTTTTGCACTTGCATGTGCACCAGCAGTCACAGACAAGGACAACAACATCACATGCTTAAAGCATGTTGTGGCCGTGAAAAGAAAAAGGGTTTTGCGCGCTCGCAGCAATGGCAGCGTCTGGACCCGGACCTCAGGACGGAAGCATTCTCCTAAGCGGCCAAAACGCAGCTCGGCCTGGCGAAACTGGACCCGACTGTGGGAGCATAGCCAGAAGTGCAGCTTCTGTGACTGGAATGGCAGCCGCTGTTGCTGGAAGGGCAGAGAATGCTGCGACTGCACCGTTGAATGTGGTGGCACCGAGGCCCGGAATCGAATTCTCTACCTGAATGCGAAAGTCGCCTCCGCCCTATGCAGAGTCGTATCGCTTGAGCGCCCTGCCCCCCAGCCCCAGCCCCAGGAGCACGAAGTAAATGCAATAACTGAATGCTAGAGCCTCCCTAAACACTCTGAACCCTAAAGCCCCACACCTGCCTTGAAGAACCCTGGGATGAGGTGGCTGCGTTGCAGCGTCAAAGTGTTCAACTTCCGGAAATGCCCGAGGGCATTGCAGAGGACGCGCACCTCACCTGAGTTCAGAGTCCAGGGCTTCCAGGGTTTAGGGCTGAGAGGGGTTAAAGGTTTAGGGTTCTGGGTATCTAACAAGCTGGAAACCGAAACCATAAGCCCTAGGCAGTTCAGAGCCCAGTCGCTCTGAGGCAGGAGCTCCAACGTCAAAGACGTCATCGACTGAGCCTTCAAGTGGAAGACGCTCTTCTGCAGCTCCACCACCGCCTCCTACTCAGGGTGTTGCGGTTTAAGCTATTAGGGCTGAGGGTCTCGGGAATTCCGGCTCCTGATCATTCCTGTGGGTAAATCGCAGGTTGCCCTCTGCCACTCGTTGACAGAAGTCTTCTGGCGCCATTGGAGCCTTTCCATGCTGGTCGATGACGTGATCGTCGATGCAAACCATGTGGCTTCCGTCAGATCTCCTCAGTTCGGTGTCTAAGTCAAGACTTTAAGGTTTTGATAGTTCGGGAAGCTCCCCGACGAAGACAAGACCCTAAGCCCTAAACCCTAAAACATTAGAACCCTCAAGCCCTCAAGCCCTCAAACCCTAAAACCCTTAGAGGCGGGTGAGGCTCATGGCGGACCAAAGAGCTTCCGCACAGCACCATCCGCGCGCGGAGTACGGCGTTTCGTTTGTCGTAAGCATCCTTAGTTGGTAAACTCTCTGAAACTGAAACACCAAACCCCTAAACCTGAAACCCTAAATTCCAAACCCGAGGTTCCTGCACGGCACCACCGCGAGCTTCCCCAGAGGAGGGGCCGGGAAATGCGGCCAATGAAAGATCGGAACCTCCTTGGCAGACTCTCTGATCGCCTGCGCTTCGGTGACGCGCGTGAGCTGGTATGTATAGGTGTCTTCATGTGAGTAGAAGACGTGCATCTGATTCATGACCCGGCTGAAGCTTCTTTGCGCAGGACTGTCTTGATCTCCTCTGTAGAACTGGTGCAGGGACATGTAGTCAATAAAATACCTGGGCTCAGTGAGCGTTTAACAATTTCAGGCTGCTGGAAGTCCTCTTAGAACACTGCGGGTGCAGCACTGCACCTTACATTAAACCCTCAACCCTCAACCCTGGAAACCCTGAAAACGCTCAACAACAACTACGATACTTTGGGGGTTTAGGGGCTTTGCTAGGCTCGAACCCTTAATTTGACGAGTTGCAATGTTATATCGACCGTCGGAGATTTGGGACTTTTTCCGAAAGGTTTCTACTTTTCCTCTTGACAAGAGCTCCCTACTTGGAGGTTCAGACCACTTCTATCCCAACTATAACTGTACTTATAACCTAATTATAACTATATAAGGAGATTTAGGGGGCTTATAAGTGGGATATAGCTACAGCTATAATTGGGTTATAGGCACCATGAACCTCCAAGTAGACCCTGAGCCCTGTCTTCCCAGCACGGCCAAGAGACCATGACAACCGGGCTGGCCACTTCTGACACTCGACAAGCGCTTGCAGCTGGCGGCCAAGCGGATCCTGGGCTGGGGTGTAGGGTTTAGGGCTGAGGGGTTTAGGGTGTAGGGTTTTTACTGTTTAGGGTTTAGGGCTTGGAGATCAAAGTTCCTAAGCCTTCAATTTTCGTGTTTAGGGCGTGGGGCTTCCCGTGTCCGCCCGTTTAAGCCCTAAACCCCTACAGCCCTAACCCTAAAGGCCTTAAACTTTAAGCCTTAAACCTTCATACATCTCCCAAAGTCTTGCTCTTCTTACAAGCTACGGGATGTTCCCTGGTCTCCCAAACGTGTGACACAGCGATGATCCTGGGCTGCTCATTCTTCTCGCCACGTTCCAGGGACCGTACCGCCTCCTTGGATTTTTGTTGCTGGGGTTTCGGAAGGCTTGGTGGCCTTGCACGCTTGTTTGCGCGGGCGCCGGCTCAGCAAAAGAGGGATTCCGCAGGGGCTATGGTTGCATATGAGGTGCGGGGGCCTAGTCTGCCCTTTGCTGCGGTGTGGTCCCCGACGTCCCTGTAGTGCCTCTTAGTCAAGATTTCAGTCCAGTATAGGAACTGCATACCCCTACACGAGTGGTGGAGGTAGCTAGGCAGTTTGAGTGTTCAGTGTGCCTGGAATTCAACCCCAATTTGTGTCTTCCGAACCCCTTCCTCCGGTGTGGCACAGGATCGCTACGGACATTGGCCGTCGGCAACACCCCGACTCTTGAACCCCTTCAGTCCATGCTGATGGATGAAAGTCCCTGTCCGGAGAATTCCGGAGATTTGCGAGCCTCATGCACTCCATCACACGCTTGAAGCCTGCTATGAGTGGAAGCTCCTTGGAGTGCTACCGGTATCAAATTCTTGGAGTTTGGAGCGCCGTCAGATTCTTGTGGGCGCGTGTGGACAAGTCAGAGGAGCGATTGCGGCTCACGTTGATGATCTCCTTTTCGTAGGCACCGACAGCGACACCGGTTGGCAGCAGATTCTTCAGAGTACAATAAGGCGCTTTATGTGGGGAGACTGGGAAAGGGACGTCTTTGTGCAGTGTGGGGTGAAGACTCAACAAACGAATGATGGGTTGCAGCTTTCCCTAAGTTCCTACGTTGATGAGCACATCGAAGAGATTTCCCAGAGTGCCAGCAGCAGACAAGATAAACAGAGTGCAACGAGTGAGCAAGACAAGAGCAGTGTTCCTTAGGCGCTTTGAGCTGGAACGCTCAACAAACGGCAGCCCACATTTCGGCAAACGTGGGACTTCTGCATTCTGAGGTCCAAACTGCCAAAAAGTACAGTGGACACCGTGATCCGATCGTGCAGTCTACAAGGCTCGGAAGGACTACAAGCTGATCCGAGGTTTCGAACCGTCGGAGTGTGTACGGGTAGAGTATCGTCACTGCATGGCAACATCACGTCAACATGTTGAGACTGTTGAGAGTCGTGTAGACAGAGCCTGTAGGAGCCCGCACATGGAGATGCCCTCTACTTCGCCAGATTCCAGCATCCTGCATGGCTACCACACCAGAGATGACAGGTTGGCGGCTAAGGTGGATGTCTGGTCACTCTCGCAACGTTTTCGACAAATGAAACACGGAGGTGTTGGCGATACAGGGCGCTGAGAAGAGAAGTAACATAGAGCTCATCAGGATCAAGGAATCGCAGACCAGATTAATTGTGAGATGGGTTCACTCCGGGGCACAACTAGCAACTCGCTCACAAAAAACGGAGGTGCCAAAGAACTGGACCTGTTCTACAAGACTGGTCAAATGAGTCAAAGGTGGAGGATCGTGGAGCCGGGCGAGATCCCCAAACTCTGGCATGCAAGTTGAGCAATCCGGAGAGAGTAAGGTTGAAGATGATAACCGAGGAGGGGGAGGGGGTGCAAGTGCCTAAGGCACTAGCTACTTCACGCAAGTCTGTCTGATCATGCAGCAGGGGAGAAAAGAGGAGCGTGCGCGCCACTTGCGACTGGCCTTTCAGCTCTTTAGACCTGCCCGCTATCTGAAGTATCTCTCCTTGAGCCACCTCGCCTAGACCGCCTTCAAGGTGTAGGGTTATTTGCAAGAGAAGCGTCAGTTGTTTGGTGCGACTGAAAACTGGGTTGTTGTGTTTTGGGGCCATAAGGTTCTGCGCTCAAAGCCCTGTTGCACGCAGCCTCCACGCACATTCCAGAACAGAGGCTGCCTGTGGTGTATGAAATGCGAAAGGGCCGGAAAACCCTAGACCTGCAAACCCTTCAAACCCTTCAAACCCTTCAAACCCTTCAAACCCTTCAAACCCTATTCCCTCAACCCTAGATGAGCAAGGATCTCTGGCTCGGAAGCGACGCAGCTCCCTCTCCGTCACGAAGCCATGCGCTTCCACCTCCTGTCGCCTCCCGGTCTGGGTACACACTGGGGGACTGTAGGGTTTTCCTAGGGTTTCTAGCGGTATTCCATTGCTTCCGAGTTTCTAGGGTTTTACGGCTTATAGGATGTTAAGGGTTTTTAGGGTTAGGTTTCGAGGGTTGAGGGTTTAGGGGGTTTAGGGCTTATTGGGTCTAGGGTTTATTGGATCTGGGGTTTTGGGTGTAATCCTAAACCTTAGTCGGTTTTAGGATTAGGGTTTAGCCCTAAGCCCTAAGCCCTAAACCCTAAACCTTCAACCAGGCGTTTAGTGTTTAGGGCAACTCAAGAAGTGAAAGGGGCCGGCCACCTTGGCCAGATGCGGCCCTCTTGGTGCAGCTGCTGAAGGTACGGGCCACTTATGAGCCTAGGCCGTGGTTAGGGTTTAGGGTTATGGTTTTAGGCCTTAGCATTTACCCTCGAAACCCGGGGCTGGTTAGGTTTGGGGTTTTGGGCGAAAGTGTCCGCCGAATGTTTGTGCGGGGGGTGTTTCTTGCTTCAAGCCTGTTGGCCTTGGGAAGCAGAGAATGGCATAGAAATTGTATGCGGCTTGTTTCTGGAGTCTTGCCGGGTTTTTGTTGTTTTTGCCGTGTGTTGGGCGGTTTTATCTTTTGTGCTTTGGCTGAGAAACATGGTTTGCGTTTCTGCGTTCCCAATACCATCTGGCCTCCATTTTGATGTTGATGCCTTTTCGTGAGCATTCTAGGGGGTCTTTTGGGGGGTTGGGGGGACGTTTTTGGAGCCTGTTGGAGCCGTTTTGCAAGGGGGCCTTTTGGCAGCTTCTGCGGCCCTTTTGGGGCCTTCTAGGACAGCCTGTCAGGGCCCTCTTGGGGGACCTCAGTGGGACAGGACACAAGGGCCTCTTGGGGCAAGGGGCACTTGCCAGTTTCAAAATGATGATATTGTCAAGCGAAGGGGATTGATCATCTTCAGGGAGCAACGGAAGTTATGGCTTTAGCTGATAGACCGTCGAAACTGGAGGGGTCGGGGCTTACAGCTTTAGGATGTAGAGTTTAGGGTTCAGCAAACAACACTATAAAATATCCCAAAGGCCTAGCAACCGGATGTCGTTGCGAGGATCCAGGAGGAAAGCGACCAAGGAATACCGGTTGTTGAGGTTCACTTCGGGCGGCAGCTCTTCGGCCTCTTGAGATTGCACCTTGCTGCTCGAATTCGAGGTTAAGGTTGAAGATTAAGCTTTTAAGGGCTGATGGATAGTGACGGCATGAGTGAACCTAAACCCTAAGCCTCACAGCACCCTGAAGCCAACAACCCCTCTTCAAACTCCGCCTGGCCTCGCAAGCCTTTGGGGTTTTGGTGTAGGGTTTAGGGTTTACGGTCCAAGGTCTAGGGTCCCTAAACCCTAGACCCTAAACCCTGTCTATCATATATATGTATATATATATATATATATATTTAAACCTTCGGGACTTTTCGACCAATCTGCCCCCCAATGTTCGGGACTTTTCGACCAATCTGAGCCCAATGTTCGGGACTTTTCGACCAATCTGACCCCAATGCTCGGGACTTTTCGACCAATCTGACCCCAATGTTCGGGACTTTTCGACCAATCTGACCCCAATGTTCGGGACTTTTCGACCAATCTGACCCCAATGTTCGGGACTTTTCGGCCAATCTGACCCCAATGTTCAGGGCCTTTCGGCCAATCTGACACCAATGTTCGGGACTTTTCGACCAATCTGACCCAATGTTCGGGACTTTTCGACCCCAATGTTCGTGACTTTTCGGCCAATCTGACCCCAATGAAGAAGGTTCAGTGGAAATCGTGTCCGAATTGGGTAGGTACTCTGGGGTAAGATGAAAACCTTTTATTTTCTTAATGTTATGGGACTCTTTGGGCGGGTGCTTTTTTTTTCTAAGCCTGGAATGAACGCTAGAACAGTGACCCTCTAGACCCTAAACCCTAAAACCCTAAAACCCTAAAACCCTAAAACCCTAAAACCCTAAACCCTAAACCCTAAACCCTAAACCCTTACTAAAGCCAGGTAGCCGAGGCCATGGCGGGCTGGTGGCCAAACACGAGGGCATCAGGTTGGTGTGGATTCGGCATGCCGGGCGCGGGGCGTGAAACCTTAACCCTCAAAGCCCTAAACCCTAGGCCCTAAACCCTAGGCCCTAGACCCTAAACCCTAATCCTAGGATTTAGGTTCACGGTTCACTCACTCAATCAAGAGTTGAGGCTGCTTCACGAGAAATCTGGAGCACACCTGATTGCCAACCACATGCCTAGGGCTTTGGGTCTAGGACTGGTGGCTTGGGACTTAGGGCTTGGCGTTTAGTTTTTTTTGGGTTTAGGGTTTGTAGGGTTTAGGGTTTAGGGTTGAGCCCCTAATCCCCTTACCCCTGAACCCCAAACTCGCTGGGCAGAGCCTGCAGCCCAACCGTCTCCGAGAATCACAAGGTTCGAGTGATCCGAAAGCTCCCCTAAAGGGCATAGGATTTAGGGTTTAAGGTCTAGGCTTTAGGGGTTCCGGTTTAGGGTTGAGGCTGTTGAGGTTGTACCCTAAAGGGTTTAGGGTTTAGGGTTTGTTTAGAGGTTTAGGTGTATAATTCGGTGTAGGGAGCCTCAAGATCTGAGGCCCTGCCCCAAAGCCCTCAACCCTAAACCCTAGACCCCTAACCCTATACAAACCTTCGTGGCTTCCCGCAAGCTAAAGCCCGAAGTCGCACCTGGCTGGGGAGCCCCGAACTTCCGCAAAAGGGAAGGTTCAGGGTGTTTAGGACCTGAGACAGAGGCTCGCTCTACTGGTTCTTAGTAGCCTATATTCCCTTAGAGAGGAAACATAGGGGGATAAAAGGAACCTAAACAAACCCGACACCCTAAACCCCTCATTCCCGACTAAGAACCAAGGCCTCAATGGCCGCGACTTGAAGGTCCCAGAGGGTTTGGGGTTTAGGGTTTAGGGGTTTAGGGGGTTAGGGCTTAGGGGTTTAGGGGATTAGGGGCTTAGGGGTTTAGGGGTTTGGGGGTTTTGGGGTTTAGGGTTTGTAGGGGTTTAGGGTCTAGGGCTTTGGGCTCAGGGGTTAGGGTTCCCCCTGTAGGTAACCTTCAAGGAGCGCGAATTTGGACCCCCCACTCCCCACCCAAGCACAGTTCAAGACCTATGGCTGCGGCAGGGCACTGACAGCGAAGGTGAAGGCCCCCAAAACCCCTAAACCCTAAACCCCGAGACCCCCAAACCCTAAACCCCCCCCTAAAGCCCTGCACCCTAAACCCCGCCCTAAACCCCCAAAGCCCTGAACCCTAAACCCTAAACCGCCAAAGGCCTGAACCCTCAACCCCCGACCAAGCGCCTTGAGCCCAAACAAAAAGCCGAAACCCTCTTCCGCCCAGCTGTTCAGGGTTTTGGTTGGGGTTTAGGGGTTTAGGGGTTTAGGGGTTTCGGGGTTTAGGGGTTTAGGGGTTTAGGGGTGTAGGGGTTTAGGGGTTTAGGGGGTTTAGGGGGTTTAGGGGGTTTAGGGGGTTTAGGGGATTTAGGGGTTTAGGGGTTTAGGGGGTTTAGGGGGTTTAGGGGGTTTAGGGGGTTTAGGGGGTTTAGGGGGTTTAGGGGTTTAGGGGTTTAGGGGTTTAGGGGTTTAGGGGTTTAGGGGTTTAGGATGGTGGATGGTTTAGGGTTTAGGGGTTTAGGGCTCGGGATTTAGGTGGTCTCTGTGGCTCTTCATTCAGGAATGCTGATGCCAGAGACCAAACAGGGCTGAGGGGGGTTTAGGGAAACCCTAAACCCTCAAACCCTAAGCCCTATAAACCCTCAACCCCCAAGCTCCAAAAGCCCCAAATCCTAAAGCCTAAACCCTCAACACCCAAGCTGCAGAAACCCTACATCCTAAACCCTAATCCACAACCACGAGGTTTAGGGTTTAGGGTAGAGGGTACCGGAGGTGCAGCCAAAGGGTGTGGCCTAGGGTTTAGGGTGTAAGGTCCAGGGTTTAGGGTGTAGGGTTAGGGCTTATGCAAGTTGAAGGTTATGGGTTTAGGGCTGAGCCCTAAATCCCTTAGACCCTGAACCCCCAACCCCAAACCCTGAACCCTAAACCCCGAACCTAAATCCCAAACCCTAAACCCCGAAACCCCACTCAGCTCTTTTCGGCGAAGAGCAATTTTTCAGCCCATCGAAAACTGGAGGTTCAAAGTTCAAAGCGAACCATACAATTTCTATTTATTCTCATCTTGAGGCTTTAGGGTTTGGGGGTTTGGAAAATGTGTTTAGAGGGGCAGTCTAGGGTTTCGGCTGCATGGACTCATGGCGGTCTGGCCTTCGGCAGGAAAGCTGGATTGAAACATAGACTGCCCACTTTCAGGACTGGCATGGAAGGTGAACCTGGAGTGATTTGTACACTCACGGAAATGTTACTCAAGAATGGGCAGTGCCTCCAGCCCTGTTGCAGACAGCCCATTCCTCTGAGATGTACGAGGCTATGCTTCGGCTCGTGCCTTGAGGCAGCGGGCACGGAGGACACAGCAAATGCGTCTCAAGTCATTTCGTCGGAAGAGGCTGAGAGAGAACACGAATGAGACCACGCCAAGAGAAGGCAGAACCCAGTGCATGCCTACGCTTGCGCCTTCTTCTTTCAAAGTGTTCATGCTGGCAACCCAGACCCCAAGTACCAGGAAAAATGCCAGGAGGGCAAGGTTAGACTGAAGCAGCCAGATATTCAGGTTTCGGTCGTGGAAGGGCTCTTTTTGGATCAGCAGCGTGCCGAGCAGACCCCACATTGTGGAAAGCATCCAGAACACCCACGAAACAACCAGGACGAGCAGCAAAATGGTCGACCCTCTTCGCTCACTTGTGATGGCTGTGGCTGCGGCCAAGAAGAACACCATGGCCAGATGCAAAGCGGCGCCGTAGTGGAGCAAGTAGCAGTCTTGGCCTGGGTTGAGGAACAAAGGGCTTAGGGTTGAGGGTCGCCCAGGGTGTTCTTCCGCCTGGCTTCTGCTTCACCAGCTCGAAGTCTCTGTCTTCGGACTTGGGACTTCATACGCCTCACGCTTTGATTCCCTTACACCTCTTGGACACCATCATCTCCCTATATCTCCCTGTAGGACTGGAGCCAGGAAGGACGGGACCTTCAACATCTCGATACCCGAAATCCAATCAAGGCTTATGGGGTCTGGAAGCCTCTCCCCGAAAGCCTAAACCGCCCTCCTTTCTTTGTCAAAAACCTTAAAAAAACCCTAAAACCCGTAGCCCAAACAGAAAACACCCACACCCACACACCGACACACACACAAACACACACACACACACACACACACACACACACACACACACACACACACACACACACACACACACACACACACACACACACACACACACACACACACACACACACACACACACACACACACACACACACACACACACCCCCACACACACACACACCACACAC